AATATCTGACGTCATAGGGCCAAAAGTCGCTCGAATGACCTCTGATGCGTCCTTTCAAAACAACTGGTCAGATCTTCATGCAGCGTAGGCTATCGAAAATATAAAAAACGAAACGAAATATAAATCTGTATTTAAAGGAGCTAAATCGCTAATATTTGGTCGCAACGCATATAATAATGCAATATAAATGTATATAAACCAATTTACATTAAATCGTTTCTGTTTTTACTGTAATTTCAAATCAGTTATGTTCGGCGAAATGCGCCAGAAGTCTCACTTGAATGACAATCTTTAGCGTCTGGTTATTCCAGTCTACACCGATGGTATTTATTGCGCATGCTCTCCAGATAAGAATAGTACGTCTCCATTTGATATGACTTGTGGAATATGTCTAGCCTCGTTCTTTGAACCCCTTGTTCCAAACGGCACTGAAACTCATTATGGTACACGATTCGTGTACCAATGGTAAAATGTTTATTTTGTCTTGAATATTGGATATCAGAAGCCCATCTTTACCCTGTAAGATCCCAAGACTAATTTTGATTTGAATTGACAAATAATTCGTGTTTTCAATGTCGAAGATTTTTGATGATATTGAGTTAGAGACTTAGCTACTTTAAATTAGATTAATACATATCAGATGTAGGCCTACTTCGCAAAAGACCCACATTTCCTCTTTATTCTTGAATTTGGTTGGCTTGGTCTGTTGACTGACTCTGCACCCAATTCATCTGTGTAAACATAAACCGACATATTTCTATACTCATCTGTTTACTTCTCAGTTCGTGTCGATCACATTTTTAAAAATCTTTGTGCACATCAGTTAATTGCTGTGTTATATATACTTCACATTTTTAAGTCTAAAGGAAAGGTTGATAGGGGATAGGAAAACATGTTCATTACAGGTACTTGAAATACCCTCTCCATGACTTCATAATCAAAATTCATAGACCTGATACAATCATAGGATTGTTTTTTTTGCTTGTTAGTAAACTCAGCACGGGCTATCAATATTTGTTAAACTTGTTTGAAAATCCCGGCGATCGTTAAACAAATTTGTCGCCTAAAACGCTAAGGTGGGCAATAAAAATTCCAGAAATCCCAGACAATAAACCCCAGCTCTCTACCTGTCTTCGAGAAGGTTGTTCTTATTATAAGCTTGCTTATCTTAGCCGTTCCCATTCACCCATTCGTGATTACGAGGACAGAATCGTTAACCAGGGTTGTCTTATAGTATATGTTGACGCAGGGGGGTAGGGGCGAGGGAACTAGTATAAATGTAAGCGCCTGAACATCCTCTGGCTTGTCTACAATATCACCTTGGTGGAAGTGGATGTTAACTCCAGGAACGAATGAACTTCTTCTGGTTTGGTAGACGGGAAAGCAACGCAACGCTTATCGTTGGCAACAATCGCATCAAGTTGAGATGTCAGGAACCAAGTACGGATCAATTTATCTGATCTTGATACTCAACGGAATAAATTCCGAGAAAGTTCATCTGTCTAGTCGTTCGGATTGGACGAAAAACCGAGGTCCCGCGTACACATTGGCGTACACGTAAAAGATCCCTTAGCAGTTGGAATTCGATATAAGAGTATGCCCGTCACCATTTCATTTTATTTCTGTTATCTAAAATGAATCATCCAATAATAAATATTTACATACATTTTCACCAAATCGTTTGCCCTTTCAGTTAATGGCTACTTTTTCAACACATAATTTTATTCTAAACAAATTAACGGAATTGAACCATTTTAGGACTGATATTATATTCGTTTTACAGACTCGATTGTGATACCATATTAGTCCCATTTACAAGGAATTCAAAGTCCTTTGCAAGTAGCATGGCAGATATGAAAATCAGCCGGTTTAACCATACTCCAATCTGATTAAAATACAGATCTATAATTCGTTTCGTTGGTTTAGACTCAACCTCTCCCCCAAATTCTTAAACCTAACCCTGAACCAAGCATAACCCTTACCATAACCCTAAAGCACAATCTACATATGCCGACATATGAGCAGGACCGTCTCCGATCTAGTGTTCTCCTCCACTAGTGCTCTTTAACGAAGAAAAGTGAAATGATATTTTAAACTACAAAAACGAAACGAAATAGGATCCGTGTTTTAATCAGACTGAAGTATAGCTCGAAAGAGAGAGAGAGAGAGAGAGAGAGAGAGAGAGACGCGAATGGGGTTTGACGTCCACTCGACACAAACTAGGTCATTTCGGGACTAACATCTGGTTCAATATTATTTTAATAATTCGCTTGCGCGTAGGGGTCTTTAGCAGTGGAAGGAAACTGAAGGGCCCGGCGAAAACCCGGCCCGAGGTTGGACAGGCGACCCTACTCCTTGTCACGTACAACCGGGGAATCGAAACTGCGTCAGAATCTGGTTGATAAAGACGGGCATTCGTCATGCATTGTGCTAGGAAGGGAATTCTGTCGAGAGCGTGCATCAAAACGTGTTTTTGAGACCTCGAGATTGTGTCACATTTGTCTGATTTTGTCCCTTGTCAAACCTCATCCCCTGCACCACCGACAAGAAGGGGTGAGGTGTGTGTGTGTGTGGGGGGGGGGGGGGTGGAACCAGAACGGAAAATTCCAGAGAAAAAGTCTACGTTATTTCGGATGATGCAGAAAGTAGGACGTTAAAATTCCATCTCATTTTATTAACGCTGGAAAAAGTCGCCACGGATCACAACTCTTGAAATGAAATCTAGAACTGTTTCACTTGACTCCGGGAGGATGAAGCTAGGGCGGCCTTATAATGTGCAAGCTTCCAATTGAAGTTGAGATTGATAATAGGAAAATAAAAAGATATACATTATATTTCGTTTTTTTTTTCATTTTTTAATTCAAGACAATATAGTGCAAAAATCAGAAAAAATAAACGAAAAGAAATTGTAGTGATGATCCATTGTTTGTTCTTATCCTGCCACGAATAATGGCTGAATCCATTGACCGATTGTTTGTTTCAACTCTATGGGAAATCGCTTTGCAATTTTAAATCAATTCACCGTTTTCTATATTACATTAGATTATGCATCGACATATCCACAGTAGTTTAATAAACAAAATATAAATATATTTCTTGAAATCTGATGGTATCTTTAGCTTTAAGCAAACATATCTGGAGCACTAGCAACCCACAACTTTTCGATTCAACTGTTTTTGTGGCATATTTGAAGAGTTCACAACTACTTCAAAATTTCGCTAATTAAAAATGTTTCAAATTTTAACTTTACACACTCGCAATCCTTAACCCCTCATCCGAACTGTCATTTTCGTCTTGTGGCATAGATTCCAAGGAAGAGTTCGATTCTAGGTCACCTTCGTCTCCAGATGAGCCTAGTTCTGATTCAGAAACCACTGGGGATGTGTTCACAGACGCTCCCATCGTTGATACGCCTGAAGGACGACGTGAATCAAAAGAATCGGTCGTCTGGGACGGATTAGGAATGACAGACGACATATGTACGTATTGCCCGTCTACCTCTGTGTCGCTCTGAGAAGAACGTTTAATGTTTATGGGAATGTTTATTTCCACTGAAGAGTTACTAGAAAGTGATATCTCGTCATGAGAAGGCGCCATTCTGTGGTTAATGGGTGAAGGTTCAAACAGTTCGTATGCTGAACGCCTCCTTTGATAATTGCTGTTCGCGTAATCGGGTTCAACATTCAGCCGCGTTAAATCAGTGTCTGACTTATTCAGATTATAGGAGCTCTTGTTGCGCTTAAGTCCGCCGCCGGCTAACTCCCCATTTTCCGGAGGTTTACATGCTGAGGACGATTTTCTAGAACGCGGTGACCACTTAATTATGTCGTCCATTAAGAATCCCACAGATATTTTTCTTTTCTCACAGGGGCTTTCTTTGGGCGAAATTTGTGCTGAACTTTTCTTACGAAATCGGTTCACGGAGAATAAACTACCCGTTGGTGAAGACGAGACGAGGTCATTTCTAAGTTCTGAAATCGGTCGACTGACGGCATAATGGTTCGACAGTTGACTTGAAACAGGTTCGTGACTTCTTGTTGGAGCAGAAAGATCATTTTCGGCCATCTGCTTTGACTCTTCCTCTTTCTCAGTATGGCGTGCACCAGGCGGAACCCATGGCACGTATACATTGCTCCTGGGTTCAGGTACGCGTTTAGATTTTTTTACTTCAGATTTAAGATCAACTTCCGTAAAATCATCTTTTGAAGCTCCTGTTGCTCCGACTGGAGTGGCCGACCGGGCGCCATTGCTGTCAGCCTCTGGATCTTCTTGGGGTACCCCAAAGCCAATATTTGAAAATATTCCATTGCCAAAGGGTATCGGACCCGAAAATGAAACTTTATGATCGCCGGACATATAGAGGTTATTTTCATAAGATGGTGCTCGCGGTGGCGGTGTGGGGACTGGTTGTTCAGGAAGGACGGAGTTCACTCCCTTGGTTACTTCATACTTCTTTCTGTGTAAACAAACAAAATAATTATCTTAAGAATGGTGTTTTTAAAGATATTTAAAGATACATTATGTAAGATTTAAATAAAGAGCTAGCCATTCTTGCTATAATAGTTCGAAAATAGATAATGTAAAATGAATAATTTGAAAATTTCATTCAAATTACTCTATTGCGAACGAAGATATTAGCCTTTGAAGGTTAGGCAAGACATGTGACAATAATTTCAACCACCGTACTGGTTGTTCGAAGCTAAGTCTCGCACCTCCATTTTTAGCTTAAAGCAAAATATGGCTGAACTGTTCTAATCTATTTAATATCTGATAAATCCGATGCCATCGAGAGTTGATTATGGCCTGAATAAGTTAATTAATGTCTAATTAATATTTTCGATAACATTTCAGGCCCAAAGAAAGACCTGCAATAGGCAGACTTAGCTCTTGCATAATTTATATTTAAGGAAAAGAAGTGAAATGAGCATACTAATAAAGAAAACATTGTATTTGATTTTTAAATTGATATATTGAGACGATAAAGAAGTACTAACCTTCGGCTACCCCAAATGACACAAATAATAAGAAGAACTGCCACAAGCGCCGTTACAACTATCGCAATTACTATTATATACCAGTGATTCTTGCCTGTCTACAAAGATAGTTTCAAACAAAGTATCATAATAGATGATTATTATTTAGATGTTGACAAAATAGAATAGAACTAACAGAAATGAAATGGGACCAATAGGGGTAATGTAGACTGACATACGCCATGCAGTGCGTGCTATCAAGAGGAAGTTCGTCTGGACCTCATCGTCATCGTATTCCAGCTGTAAAGGGTTCGTTGACGTGCACGTCAACGTGTACATGGAGTAAAGGGGTTTGCTCTCCATCATACATCTCTCACCAAGAGGAAACCACGCCGGAAAATCCTGATGAAATTTCCCGGGCAACACCGAGATCAATGCCCAGACCTCGATATTTCCGCCAAATCGTAATCGTATTCGAGCTGTAAAGGGTTCGTTTACGTACACATGGAGTACAGGGGTTTGCCCGCCAGCCTGCATTACTGACAAAGAGGAAACCACTCCGGGCAACACCGAGATCAAACCCAGGATCCCCTGGTTAGGTTAGTGAATCAGCGCCATACTCACAGTGCCACCCTAGCTCCAGAACGAATATAATTAACCGAAGGATGTACAAACTAAATCAGTCTAATTTACAAGATGTAATTTAATTTGTCTTAAACATGCATTATGGAAGAGCGACATATGCCAATTGCTGGTCTTTCTTTAGGCCTGAAATGTTATCTAAATTATCAATTAGACATTAATTAATCAACTCTCAAATTTCAATTGCTTAATTTTCGGTTCATAGTGCATCAATTTGACTGCAATTTTCAGCAAATTGCCTTTATATTATCTAGTTTTTAACTATTATAGTGAGAACTGCCAGCTCTTTATCTTAACTCCCATAATGTATCTTTAAGTTACATGTACAATGCGAGTTTTGCCAATAAACTCCAACTTGTTTTTTTTTGTTTTGTTTTTTTTCAAATTTAAACTGCCAATGAAGCGTTTACGCGTATTGTCAATGTTTGTACGCAATCTCCGTGTTTATACCACTTATACGATATGGCACCCTTCCCCGTCATCCCCACATGAGTAACACCAGATTTGGTACATTATTATATATATTTATCATAAATGATGTTTGATTTGTTTTATATCCCCTCCAAATTCCCCCACAAAGTTAACAGTTTTCTACTTACTGAATTAGAATCCTTTTTGGCATCAAAGTTTGGAATCGAATCTATAAATAAAGGAAGAGGAAATGGTTTATCGTAATGATGATAAATAAAAACCTTATTAAAATATGAAAAATAATAATAAATCAAGTAACATAGCATATACCGGGAAATATAAACAGCCCATTTGATCAGATTATTGGCCAAAGGACGACGCGTGAACATAATACAGCAATAAACTTATGCCAAATCTGTATGCTTACCATAGAGCTCAGTGAGCGTGTTGTACCAACTATGTCAGTTCCGGTTTTAATCAAAATTAATTTCTCGCTTACAAAAACCCTTTTGCTTATGCTACTGAGGGGATTATTTATCAATATATATTTAAGGTTTATGGAAACCTTGTTGAAAATCGTTGATCTCCCCCTTTAAGATTTCGAGAAACAGGGCCCTGATACTAATAACAAGTGAGATTATATTCGATGGAAAGGAAGCATTTAAATTTAGAAATTCAAAAAGCATTCACCGTAATAACTGATAAAAAGTTGTTTGGGGCTTTTATCACATCAACACAAGATGTATTTCTAATACAAAGACAAGTTTTGCCCCACCCCATCCCACCCACGCGCATATGCCTTTCCCACTTCAATAGATACCGGGGTTGACATTGGTACCATGTAGCGCCAACGCAATCCAGACTGACTAGTATTTATTTACATACGTTTTGGTATGTTAATTGGTATCGGTTCTATGGTGGTGGTCGTAACGTCATTTTCACAGTTGTTTCCAGTCCACGGTTCTGAACACACACAGACATAACCGGAATCTGTATCCATACAAGACCCATTGTTCTGACACGGATTACTGGGACAACCTGGAGTCCTGTACTGACAGAATAAACCTGAAATATTCAAATGATATGGACTGAAATAAAACAATGTAAAGGAATGGTTGACGCTTGGAAGGAATCCACGTGTTCGTAGTAGCAGTTGCGTAGTGACCGCTGATTTGCCTGTGAAATAAGGTTCCGTGGGGAGGCACCTAAACCCAGTATTTAAAGTTTTTTTTATATCGCTAGGAAGACCTGGGGAGGAGGGGGTACTTTCCCCCGGCGCAGGGAAATTGTGGATTCGTAATCTGAGCATGATTACGAAGTAATAATGGCCTGAATATGTAGCTGAATACCGCAAATACGACAGAAATCCTCACGAGATCACCATGGATATAATACATAAAAAGGATAATTACAATAAAACGTTGTTATCACGCAGGGAACCACGGTGATTCGGTGAATAAGACGTTGACTCGCTAACCTGGAGGTCCAGTGTTCGATCCCTGTGTTGCCCGAGAAAGTTCATCGGGATTTTACCGCGTGGTTCCCCTTGTCAGTGGTCAGGACGGAGGGAATGGCAAGAGACAAAGCATTGTATTTAGGATGGGACAAATCATAGCACACTGTATGGTGTATGTATGTCTTCATTAGCCCAGCATAGGAGCAGAAAAGTAGAACGTTAAACCCCATTTCATTTCGTTTCGTTATCACCCAGACTTGGATTATATCTAAGTCAGATAGCGTTGATTATGGTCTGGATAGGTTAATTAATGTCTAATTAATAATTTAGATAGCATTTCAGGCCTAAAGAAAGAGCTGCAGTAGGCAGATTTAGCTCTTGCATAACGCGTGTTTAATCAACTGTACCTGTAAATCCTGGTTTACAAAGACATTCATATTTTCCTGGACTATTGGTACAACCAGCATCATTCTGACAAACACCATGAGTACATTCATCTATATCAATATCGCAGTTCTCTCCCTCCCAACCTAAAAATAAAACAAAACAATGAACAATTCTCTCCTTCCTAACATGATATAAAATAAAACGGGCACGCCAGCTGTGGGGGCGTTTGGGCACCGCTTCTTCGGATATAGAGAAATACTAGGCCATTGGCTAGATTATTCGCCTTGAACAAAATCTAAGGGAGGTAACTAGCTCTAAAACAAGATGTCGACGCCCATGAAATTAATTTAAGAATTACAATTATATCAGAAAAATCCAACACTCTTAATCTTTTTATTGTAAAATTTCCCTCTTCAAGAACCATATTTATATTGGTTTTTTTTTATCAATCCTAACACGTAAAGGTTTATTTTACGTGTACACCCACATACACGTGTAACCGGGACCTCGGTTATTTCGCCCCATTCGAACGACTAAACACATTTCCTGCCAGGGCCGCCGTACTGCACCCCTGACAAGAGGAAGCCATGCTGGTAATACATGAATCAAATTCGGGAACCTTAGTGAGCCAGGGCCATACCCGCTGAGCCACCAAAATAATGGACAAAAAAGAAATAGTTTCAGATTACTTTCTTGTAATACTACTTACCAAATGTGCATTCTCGTTCGCCAGTTAAATGATTACACATAAAATGTTCAGTAGGATCTTCAATAGTACAATGTGTTGAACAATTATGACCAAAATAATTAGCGTCACAATACAGATTCACTTGCAACCATAATCTGTAAAGCGAAAGTAGAACATATTTTTAATAATAAAAGTGCAAAATAAACTGTAAAGGCCTGTGCACACTATATATAAGGACTATTTGTACCTAGAAAACTATATAACTAGTTTTCCATCACAGTTTCTTCGGCGATTGAATGTCGTCTATCGATGTCATGGTTATGGATTTTTATAAGTGCCCACACCTACAGCGAATTGCTTAAACAAAACTAAATATAGTGACATCCATCAAAACTAAAACAAGCCATCTCCACTATCACAGCATGTATTTGGAAACATTTCTATGTACTGACTAGTTTTACCCAATCTAATCCTATTTCGCTTTGTTTTTATAGTTCAAAATTTAGTAAACCACTAGAAACGTCTACGCTGATTGATTAATCAATGTCTGACGTCATAGGGTCAAAAGCCCATCTCGTTTGACCCCTGACGTGAACTTCCACTATAAGTTGTCAGATCTTCATGTAGCGTAGGCCATCGAAAGTATAAAAAAAAAACGAATGGAAATATAGATCTTGGGCCTGTTTCACGAAATTTTAACTAAGATAAAATCCAAATTTTAGTAGTTTGATTGGATAATATTACATTGATTTTAGTGCTTAGCCACTCAAAATTGAAGTATCTACTTAAATTTGGATTTTATCTTTAGTTAAGTTTTCGAGAAACAGGGCCCTGTATTTCAATCAGATTGAGTTTTACCGCGAACTACTACTGTCTGCTAGTAATGCACTTTACAAGAGGAAACTATGCGGACAATCTGTTGAGCTGAATACTTTACCACATACCAATGACGTTTTGCCGGTGCTTCTGACAAACGGTAGTATTAGGGTTAGTGCTAAATGATAAGACCAGCTCAATTTTTCGCGGAGACTTAACCTCTCCCCCAAATTCTTAAACCTAACCCTAACCCTGGACCTAGCCCCAATGCTTACTCTCAACCTAACCTACAATCTCGCCAACAATCACGTGCCTTAACCTAATTTACATTTTACACATCGACGACCTTGACAAAAATTGAGCTAGCCTTAACAAATAGATTTAGCCGTAGCATTAGCTGTTCTAGAGAGAGCAGCATATCCTTCTTCAAAATCAACACCCCCTTTAACTAATATAAAATGGGCGCCAGTTTGGATTGAAAATGATATTTTCAAAAGTCACAAAATAGTACAAAAATAAAAAATAAAAAAATATCATGTTTTAGCTACAGGCTAATTATAATTTGCATAAGGTCAAAGGTAGTGAGTTTAAGTTAGGGGTGAATGATCATTGGTTATTAACAGTGATTGATTGGTTGACGATATTAGCGCCATTAGTAATTATTAGCAGGTATATTTATTTTATCTCCCCATTAATAACTTGGCTCTCTTTTCCCGCTATTAATGTGTGATGATCCTGTATGTTTATAACATGCCGAGACATTTTTGAATTGGCTGCTAAATAGTGTATTTTACCAATTGTCCGCACAGCTGTCATGTAGCGCACTGATTTGTGTTATGTTTCACAATTAAAGCATAGCATGTATGAAGTGCGGCCATTATGTTCAATCAGATCTGCACAATAAATGACGTCAATTGACCTACTTGCTTCGTTGACGTAACGACACATCAACCGGAAGTGACGACCAGCGGTCAGTACCAGGTTCTGCTGTGTAGTTCACCATAAGCTCTTCCCGACATTCATCTTGTAATCTGGGTATTAATGGACAGCAAGAAATATACACCTTCACACGAATACCGCCCTGGAGGAAAACAAATCAATTAACATAAACTTGACAGCAATTTAAATTAATTAAAAACGATCAGTTATGTACGAAACGTTATGTATATTTCTAAATCCCTTTAAAATCGCGACAGGTCAACTGCATTGGACAATAAATAATAATTCACGCTTTAACACACGCTTAAATGTATTCAAATTTGTTATTTGACATTGAATTACGAAAACAAAATAACACTATCAAAGGATCTAAAAACGGAAAGTATCTAGTCTTTCTGATGGAACAAAAAACGCGAGATCCCGTTTACACATTATTAGATGGAATTCAATGGGGATTGCAGGTCTTTCTTTAGGCCTGAAATGTTATCTAAATTATGAATTAGACATTAATTAACTTCTCCAGACCATAATCAACTCTCGATGTCATCGGTAGCCTGCGACTGGATCTGAATCCGATTTGCTGATCAACGCTCATTGATGATTTAATCCAAAAATGGATAATCGAGACTATGTTTTTATAGTACCGATTTTGGAAAGATGATAGAGGTTAGGTCTAAAATTCAAAAGCTAAAATCTCGGTTCAGAGTGGATCAATTTGACTGACATTTTCAGCAAATTCCCTTTACATTATCTAGTTTTTAACTATCATAGGGATAATTGTCAGCTCTTTATCTAATCTCCCATAATTCCCCTTTAAGGAAAGACAAACACTAATGGACTAAAACTTACTGGCCAATCGGGGAAGTTAAATGGCATCGGGTTAGGGATAACATTTGGAGGTTGACCGAAAGCAGAACCAAAGAAGATGGTGTCCATGCCACTGTTCATGGGTGAACCGCTATCTACGGATACTGCTCCAGTATCCACACGACCAAGACTGCAGTCATTACTGGTGTCAGGACTAAAAACAAAAACAACAATGTTATGAAAGCATTTACATAGCTAATCAACATACGTAGGGCTTAATGATACTTTCAAAGCTAATGCAATAGAGAGAAAGAGAGAGAGAGAGAGAGAGAGAGAGAGAGAGAGAGAGGGGGAGTTTAACGTCCACTCGAAACAAACTAGGTCATTTCGGGTCTAACATATGGTTCAATATTATTTCAATAATTCGTTTGCGCGTAGGGGTCTTCAGCAGTGGGAGGAAACCGGAGGACCCGGAGAAAACCCACGAGGTTGGACAGGTGACCCTACCCCTTGTCACGTACAACCGGGGAATCAAAACCACACCAGTTGACTCAATGACAGACCTTATGATTCAACGAGCTCGCGCTAACCACTCCCCCCCTCCTAACCTATGTATAGGTAGCCATCATGTTTCCCAGACTATATTCCTATCATAATATTAAGATTTCATTTACATGAAATAATTAGAGCTTAAACAATATTTTGAAAGCATTTACAAATGTAAATGAAATCTTAGGATTATGATATGATTATAGTCTGGGAAACATGATGACTACCTATACATAGGTTTAACTAATCAGATATCCCGAACCAAAATATCATGGGAGCCACGGGGGCTAGCCTGGAGGTCACGGTTCGATCCCGGTGTTGACCGAGAAAGTTCATCGGGATTTTCCGGCGTGGTCTCCCCTTCTCATTGATGTAGGACGGTAGGCCTGACAATGACAGCTGTATAGTAGTTCGGGTGGGATGAAAAACAGATCATTTGGCAGATAGAATTTGATATAAGAGTAGATTGTAGCGGCGCTGTCCGGGCAACATTTCCCTCACACACTTTAAGGCGTATGCCCGTCTTCATTAGCCCAGTCGGAGCAGAACAGTGGGACATTAAATCCCATTTCATTTCATTTCAAAATATTATTTATAAAAATAACAACAATTCTTTCATTGTTACGCGAAATAACTCCCAAATTAAATAATCATTTATTTACAGTTGGTACATTATGACATATAATTTGTTTGACCCTAGACTTTTTGAACCAGGAAGTGAATGAAGTTCAATCAAACACACATTGAGGCTATACAAAAGTTTATGATCCAAATGAGCTAGACGAGGAAGAATATTTTAACGCCCATTTCATGATCAACGATTGCTAAATTATGAAACAAAAACCAAAAAAAACCAAAAAAAAAATAACCAAAAAAAAAAAACAAACAAAAAAAAACTTATTATCGAAGGATTACGATTTTATGGAATGACGAGGGAAGTTAGACAGCTAATTATGAAACATAATTTAAAACAATAAAATACTTAAAATCGAAGGATTACGATTTAATTGAACGAAGGGGGAAGCTAAACAGCTTATCATGAAATCACAACTTAATCAAACAAAATACTTAAAAACCAAGAATTACGGTTTAATTAAATGACGAGGGAAGCTAAACAGCTAATTATGAAATCACAATTTAAATTACGATTTAATTGAACGATGGGGGAAGCTAAACAGCTTATCATGAAATCACAACTTAATCAAATAAAATACTTAAAATCCAAGAATTACGATTTAATTGAACGACGAGGGAAGCTAAACAGCTAATTATGAAATCACAATTTAAACAAATAAAATACTTAAAACCCAAGAATTACGATTTAATTGAACGACGAGGGAAGCTAAACAGCGAATATGAAATCACAATTTAAATAAGAACTACGATTGAATGACAAGGGAAGCTAAACAGATAATGCATTTTCTTTTTACAAAACTTCTAGATTCTTTTGTTGGAATTTTAAAAAGCAAATAAAACAACAAAACATTTAGATCGGTATTAGCGCCGAGTTAAAATTATAAGCCTTGACGTTTAAAAAATACCATTCATATGAGTACTATAAATAATTCATTTAACACTTTACTTCTCATGAAGTAAAAAACAACCTGTTTATATAAAGAAGATTATATCTTAGGATTGCGTTGACACTTTTAAACGTCAAATTGGCAGAAAAGGTGGTCTATGTAGTGGTTGCAATACGTGCACATTAGACTGCCATTGGTATATTTATAGTATATAATATTTGGTGGGGGGGGGGAATGGATCTGGGTTGGGATGGCCTAGTGGTCTAGAGTATCGCGCTTTGACCTCTAGCTGGTCGGCCACCTCTGGCTTGCGGTTGTGGTTTCGATCCCTGGTGTAAGCATATGTGGCTTGGAGATAGGGCCGCCTTCTCAACCTGGTGGGTATACTCCAGGTACTCCTGTTTCCTCCCACAGGAAGGACCCCAGCGCGTCTGCATATCACCTTCGGGGGACGCGGACGTTAAACATTAAGAATAACAATAACATAGATCTGTATAGCTCCAGGTCACAATACATTTCTCCACTGACTTTAACGTTGACCGGTCCTTTGAATTTCGTTGGATTCAACGTTTTCTACCACAGCACAGATGGAGCAGCATGTGGCAGCGTGTAGCTCAAAAGCATTGCCTGAGGCTGTCCATGGAAGTCTTGAGAAACACAAACCTGATGTAGCATATTAGTAAACATGCAATTTGTCGCCCTACATTTCAACTTAACCAAGCTGTCAACTTTGTTATCTTTCCACCTTAAAGTCACATGGCAGAAAATGTAAATGCAAACCCGTCTCGCGGCGCCTTTTCTACAAGAAGTTAACGAAAAAGGTAATAGTAAATGGGGAGAAAGGAACATAATTATATGCCCTGTAGTTACGTATATGTTTCTTTGTTACATATATTCTCTTTTCTTAAATATGGCCCTATTATATGCTCCTCAGTTACATATATGCCCCTGTGCTATATATAGCCCCTTTATTACATATATACCCCTTTGATACATATATACCCGTTGTTCCATAATAATATATGCCCCATTGTTAAATACACTTGCCTTTCTAATATATGCCCCTTTGTTAAATATACTCCTTAATTAAATTAGAAAATATACCCTCCACTGTTACATCATGTTTCTTTGTTACACATAATATGATCCTTAATTATAAAATAGATAGATGTCTAAAAACCATGTTATCGCAGTATCACAATTCCAATTGGTTGATTCGTAATTTGGATACACAATAGCAATAAATGCCGACAAGACAACCGGTTTCTTCTTAATTTGCATAATAATAATAATAATAATAATAATAATAAAAAGAGTAATGTAACAATTGTTTATTTGTTTACTTGAATAACGAATAGCATATTTTACCATACGGGTATTTCGTTAAAACAGCCAAATTCCAAACGATCCAGACATAATCTGACAATTGTTTACTTTGTTATTTGGATCTAGAGTAAAGAATAGCATATTTTACCATAAGGGTATTTCGTTAAAACAGCTAAATAAATAACTTACTGTTCTAAACTATCCAGACATAATATAAATCGATAGGCTGGTGGGCCTGGACACGGGACTCTCGCCTGCCAGGGTGATCCAGTGGTATTATCAGGAGGTGTTTGTGTAGATGCTGGCAGATCGTCATTTGGAAAATAGGTAAACTGAAAACGGTGGAAGCGTATTTCCATGACACCACTTGATTGTGCAGTCTGAAAGAAGAAATTGAACATTGGTAAACTCGAAAAAAAAAAATAATGACCACATGTATGATTTTAAATATGCGAGTTGGGAGGAGGTCGGGGTGTGTGTGATATTTAAATCCATTGTAGACTGCAATTTTTGGACTGTACCTCTCTAAAGGGAATATATTTTAAATATTATTTTTAAAAGCCTAATGAAATGAACATTTCACAACATCCTGTTCATATTTCACCCAATTAAATACAAGCTGGAATGTTGTTTATCGTTGATATAACGGTTTTCTTATTTTTAAAGATGTGTTATGCAAGAGCTAAATCGGTCCATTTCAAATCTGTTCTTTGGCTTTAAATGTTATATACATTATTAATGAGACATCCATTCATATGCCATTAGAAGGGATTAGAACATCAGTGCCCTTTAATAATATAACGTTAAACTGGACAATCAAGACTTTGTTTATTATCGTAGCAGTGGTACTTGACAATCGGGAATATGATCTCTAGATCTTATCAAATCTTTAAACCCTCGTAACGTCGCCCATAATAAAGTAATATGATTGAAAGTCTCAATATATTCGATTTACAATATCACTTTTGAACTATTATAGCAAGCAAGACCTTCAAACACTTTATCTAAATCTTACATAATGCATCTTTAATTAAACGTTGAATAACTTATTTGAGTACATTTTTTTTTTAATTTTAGGAAATAGTCTATCATGATATAATTACGTACCTGTACATTGTAAGTAATAAGAACACAAATTAAACAAAAACAATATTTGAGTATACTGGGCGATAAATCCATAACGTATGTCTCCTGGTCACGTTTTGTTTACAACGTCAAATATTCAGCTGAGATTAAATTTTGTCAACATCCCAATATGATGTTAAACTTCGGTTTGCCAACCTGTATCACCGAGGCTAATCAACTGCCACTAATTAATCATCGTATTACCTCGATGGCCGATTGCCGCGGGTTACTTCCGGTCACATGTTGTCGTTTTGCGCCAATCCGCGTCCATCTTTATGGTTGGCAATGAGTTAAGGTGTTTATCTTGTGCCGGAGGGAAACCCCTCGCTTTTACAGATAATATTTAATTATTGTATAATTTGATATAGATAAACATCTTATGATTAATTCAGGGTGCTAATTTAATAGTAGATTTATCACTAATTTAATGAGATGTCAAGTTACTAGCATTTAATGACGTGATGATTTTTACAGTTTATGTGAGAATTAAAATTATGTTTAGATATGGTTGAGACTAGGGACAAGTTAGTTTGATCTTTTGTATATATAAAAATAAAATTACTGTTGTCGATTTCAGAAGAAGTTTACAAATTACAGATTCACAATTTATGGAAAGAATGAAAAGCCAGCGTCTTACCCACTTTGTCAACGTGGCTCCCTACAAAACAAACATATATTAGTATTATTTCTTAAGTCTTAATATCTAAACTTCGATATGCATATTGAATAAAAAATTAATATGTGTGAGAAATTTGAGCACTGACTTTTAATAGAACCGCATTAAACATTATAGGTATTTTGTTGGTACTAATTCATACAGACACGAGTTTAATAACAAAATGTTAAAGCGGACAAATCCCACCAGGATGTCAGAATACAAGGTTCAATGCCAAGCAAAATGTGTCTAGTCTTTCCGATAGAGCGAATATTCTGGGTCCACCTGACAAATCGAATATCATTAAATTTATTTCAATAATTCGCTTGCGCGCAGGGGTCTTTAGCAGTGGGTGGAAACTTGAGTGAGGACCCGGTAAAACCCACAAAGTTGGACCGGCGACTCTACTCCTTGTCACGTACACACAGAAAACCGAAACCACGCCACGTGACCCAATGACAGACGCGTTAACCATTTGGCTACCCCCCCCCCTCATTTTCTCAGAATTTCAATACGACCAATTACTTCCTTTTGTCCAAATATTATGTTCTCTTGTCCCAATATTATGTCCTCTTGTCCGCGATATTACTTCCTCTTGTCCCCAATATTGTATCATCTGTTTATGGTTAATTATTTCTGCTTCTTCTTCTCGGAATTGGTGATTTACTGTTTGTTGATATCTTGATCTAGATTGTTTTGTAATTTGCAGGTGGATGTATAAGAAGGTAAAACTACGTGACCTAGAAGAATTCCCAAGCGAAAGTGATCGACGATGGCTGGCCGGAACTCGAAATGTAGATAGAAAGGTCCATATATAAGTCTGATTAAAACAATACCGTATTTAGACGATTTAACAATAACGTCACAAAGACAATGAAGGGTGGACTATATATATATAATTGGCTCCTCTTTCGTGCCGCTGTCCGGACAAAATTTCCCTCATAGCACACTGTATTGCATATGCCCTTCTTCATTAGCTCAATCGGAAATAGTTGTTGGCTGTTTGGGCCAGATTCGATGAAGCCTGGTTGAAGTTACATTGTCAGGGTTAGGTAAATATTCATGATTTTAAGAGATGAATTATAGAAATCACCTACAAAAATGACGTCATAGATATAGCTTCCATTGACTTGGCGCGGAAAAAATCAAGATGGTCAACCTCCTACAATAATTTTTTTCTTCAGATGATTGTGCCATGCTGGACTCTTTGTGGCTACAAAGATTTAGATCATCGATATGTTCAATAAAATGTTACAGTGCTAGAAAGTGCAATATAATTTGCAGTAGTGGGTCATTTCCCTATGAAAAATACATCTATTGGGAATTATGGGTTGGGATAGTATAAAGTAATCAAAATTCCTGCGGGAATTAGAAAATGTCAAATTTTAGTCTGTGTCATTACTTAGAGTTGCCGTCCTTTAAGAATTACAGATATTAGATGGACACAGATCACCAAATATTCCTACGCCGTCACCCTCCTCCCCCTTTTCCTTTCCCCCCTATTACATGGCGATTTTTGTTGACTTTTTGGTGTAGAATCGAAGAAAAGGGTTTGAAAATACATTAGCCCCGAAACCGGAAGTGGTAGACTAACGCCACCTGGTCTATGTTACTCCCCTGTCCGAGCTACCCCTACACCCCAAATTTCAGACTCGGGGCAGACCTAGTGTAGCCGCCAACCCCGAACAGACAGACAGACAAACAGACAGTCACAAATATTAGTATAGATAGATAGATAGATTAAATCATCACGTGTAAGAAGTTATACAGCATTAGAAATAGGTTTTGCTACAACAACAAAATAAAATAATTTTTAAGTAAAAAACGTTTAGGCATAATTTATGTTTGCTTTAAATACCATAAATGGATACTACATTAAATAGTAATGTTTACTTACAGCTTTCGGGGACTGTAAACATAATACACTATTGTAACTAACGAAGGAAAACACAATGAAAACTCAGCATTTTAACAGAAATCAAAACATACCGGCACCTTTAACAATGACAGATTGTTTAAAGGAGCTAAATCTCTGTTCTTTGGCACCGAAAAGTGGACACAAATGGGTCGAAACGCATATAATAATGTATTATGAATGTATATAGACTGATTTACATTCAGTCGTTTCTGTTTTTACTTAATTTCTAATCAGTTATGTTCGGCGAAATACGCGAAGAGTCCCAATTGGATAGCAGCCTTTGGTGTCTGGTTATTCCAGCCAGTCTACACCGGTAGTTTTCTCCTGTTTAACCTCGTTTATCGGGTCGCTTCATTACAAGTAGCGCTCAAAAGCATTCTGGTACACGATTCGTGTGTCAGTTTTAAAATGTTCATTTTGTGTTAAATATTGGACAAAAGCTCGTCTTTTCATGGTAAGATAACAACATCATTGTTGATTTAAATTGACCAACAAGTTGTGTTTGCAATGTCGAAGACCATGGATGATATTAACCAAAACATCCTAAGGCAATCGGGCACATTCAATTCCCGCCAGTATCCACAGTAAATTCTAGTACTCATATTATTAGTAAAGAAATATATTTTGTTAATAAACTATCAGCCCCCATTAAATCGAAAAATTGGATAAATATGGTATATGCTATATTTTAGTATCGAGAATGTTATTATTAAGATTTGATATCTAATATATTATTTAAAAAGTCATAATAGGTGAACTGGAGTAGCCTTTGCTGGTCGGCTAAACTTATATCAAAAATCGAGAATGTCGATTGGGGGATTTATTTAAAGCTAAACGAATTGATTAAAGAAACACGTTAAGTCAGTAAAGCACACTAATAAAATTTCATGCGGATCTCAAAAGCATTAAATGGTTCTGTAACCGTAGTAGTAAGATTACCATTGCCTGCTAAATATTTACAGGCAGTTACTTTACAAGTAAGCCATATTGGGTAACGTTTTAATTATGAAGTCGTTACAATATACGCTGGGTATAAGTTTTGGTTTAATTCTTACCATCTCGTGTAAACAGGATTTCTACAGCAAATATAATTTTGAGAATCCCGTGCCCATGTCGTATTCTCTTGAAATACATTATACTGCTTGTACTACGTGCGCACGATTGTGTTTATCTACTGAAGGTTGTTCGTATTTCTCCTGGTACAACAGATCCTGTTATATACCAAACACAGCCTCACCTGGTAACAGTTCAGTAAATGTTACATCTACTTACGTTAACGATGATCTCAAAGGTAAGAACTTACATTAAATAGATATTTGACAATCTGCTTGATGTCTTCGACTGCAATATCAACGTCAATGAAAAGTTAGGAATAGAAAGATATCATACTTTAGTACATAACTCCTTCCAAATTCATGCTGCCATTGACTGTGTGATCATCGAGAATATACCTTTATTATGTTTATACAGATAATTGTTATTTAGAAGGGTATATTACCATATTAGGAGTGTATTTAGTCGTCAAAACCATATTTAAACACATCTACGTTCTACCGCCAATAATGAACACATTTAATTTTGTAATCCCTTGCGTTGTCATGGTTCCGCCAATTAGAGTTTGATCGCCATGACAGAATGATGTAGTTCTTGTTCTG